TACATTAAGGCTCCCACCGCCCGTACCTTAAGGCTCACACCGCCCGTACATTAAGGCTCACACCGCCCGTACCTTAAGGCTCACACCGCCCGTACCTTAAGGCTCACACCGCCTGTACCTTAAGGCTCACACAGCAGTAGCCACAGTGTGACTCCCACTCCTGCTGCCTCGCAGACACCTTGACTATTTTAGTTCTCCCCACAGCCAGGGCGGCTCCTGTCTGACAGCCACTAAAGCAGATTAAACCTGACCTTCACTTTTGTTACTGAGGGAAAGTGTGTGTGCGATTAGCGTGTGACTAACTCCGACACCTCACTGGCTTGCCCCAAGACCTGCTAACCAGCTATGACTGCCACCACCATGTGGTGATTACTGGTAGTGCGCACTCACATTTATTTTTAGAGTGCTTCTGAGAAGCCATTTTAGAGTGAACAGTTTTTCAGTGCCACATGGCTGGAAGAGGCCACTCGGTATACAATGTGTGACGTGTGACGTCTCTCACCGGCGTCTGGAAGCAGCAGTATAGCTGCGTCAGGAAGGGGTGGCTGTGGGCAAGTGACAGAACCCTCTTCTCAGTCATGGTGCACTCGACATCGTCATCCTGCAGGATGATGTCTTTCTTCAGCACCTTCACCGCGAACACACGATCCCTGTCGTTCATCCGTGCCAGCATCACCTGGTGAGGGGAGAAAGTGACAACGCACACCAAAGTCACGTTAACAAACCACATTAAAGTGCAGTTTCTAACCTAATTATTCATACGTTAACATTCATTAACATTTACTGCTTGAGGGCACGGCTGCCCTGTTCCACACTAGTGATGGCCCAATGAAGCTTCATGAACCATTTGCTATATTTTCTGACTCCACTAGATGGTGCTCTGTTAAAAAAGGGCTCTAAACATGCCCCAATGCAAGCTAAGAGCACTACCTAGTGCAGTGGTTCTCAACCATTTTTACCATGCCAGCTCAGTCCCAATTCCATATCAAGTACAGGTTTAAATTAATGCTATTTTCAAGCTTGCAGTGCACTCTGCACTTTATGCCAATCAATGCCTATTGCACAAATCTGATTGGATGTGCCAGTGAATTTTAAATTAAGTATCTGTGGTATGACTTGGATTCGTTGGGCATTCACTAGTTTTATACTAAGCATTTGCAGACCCAAGACCTGTTTATTTAGGTTAATTTGAGGATTGGGGTTGGGAAATCTGATCGTGGATCAGCATAGGACCTTGCTAGTTTTAAAATGCTTACATTTCCAAATCTGCCTTGCCACCCTTTCAGAACTTGCTGAGACCCGAATTTGGGTCGCGACCCATGGGTTGAGAACCGCTGATCTAGTGGCGTCAAAAATTACATCAAAATGTTCCCGAATCTTCATTTTGCCATCACTAGTGCAGACAGTCTGCACTTCCTGTGAAGCTGGCTTGCCTTAGCTCACCTTGCCAAAGCTGCCCTTGCCCAGCACCTGCAGGAACGTGAAGTCCGATATACCCCGTCGCTGGCTCTGCTGCTCCGGGACGCCCATTTGGCTCTCGCTCCGTATGCTAGAGCTCCGCTGGCGCTCCTCACTCAGTGCGGACTGGGCCGGAACACGAACATGTAGACGTGAGTTGGTGCCAAATTCCTTCTCTATCTCACTCACCATCAGCAGCACCAGTCAACACTCATTTGCAGAACACAAACTGCGGTTTACAAAACATCGTCTATCTGATATATTTGGTGACATTTTACTTATTGTTGGATGACATTTTACTTACTGAAGAGGATAAACCTTTAAAAATTCTATGGTGGTTTGATGGCTTAACTGATACTCTGCCACCTGCTGGTAAGAATTGTCAGCTACATAATTAGATGCTAAACATGTCTGGGCCCTTAGGACTCTTAAGGTCCCTGTATACTTCAGATGAACCTGACGTTGTTTTTGCAATATGACATCATATGACATCATAATCACCGTGGTAATCAGTTTCGGCACACCGTCTATGTCAAACTTTTTCTATTTGTTCTGATCCCAACTATTGTCCACGATTGGCTGACATAATATGACACCACAGGGTTGGTCAACAGGACTAATTATGCAATTACTGCCATGCTTTACACTGAATCCCATTTTAAATGCTGTAATTAATGTGTATTTCGGTTACCAGTAAATGTCGAAACTGACATCATCCTGCAGCATAGTAAACTGCCGTAAATCGTTTTGGAATTTGTGCGTTTTGTTGGTTCCTCTGTCTTGTGCTGCTGCTTGTATTCAACCAATAATGAAGGTCAATAAAGAGCAACTTCCACTTTCATGTCCTTTTTAAAAATGACTCATGCACTCCTCAGGATTGGTTTTTCTGGTGCATCCAAAAACATTCTGCGTCCTCTAGGGTTGTGGCATGACATAGAAGGAACGAGGGGGCAGCGGCGTCATTTGAAGCGCGACCGATTGCTCTCGCGCCCGATTTCGTTGTGTCCCGACCTCGTCTGAAGTACGCGGCCACCTTCAGAGCGCGTGCGTGGGGCCGGAGGGTCCTTACCAGGGAGTTACGCTTGGAAAGGCCGCCTGCCTGCAGACCCATCTCTGACAGCCGGTTGGCCAGTTCCATGCTGTTCACGCCACAGCTGGGAGCCACATTGCCTTTGCAGCGGATGTGGACATTCATCTTGCAGACTGGAGTGTGACGCAGGCGCGTGCGCAGACACAGACACGCAGACACAGACACGTAGACACGCAGACAGAGGTGTTAGATTTCCAGCTGAACAAACCGATACCAAATGACTACATTCTTCACCATGATAATTATCACTGTGGGTGTCCATCATCTGCAATGGTATTGGCACCCCCCCCCCCCAGGGCGAAGGCCGGCCTTACGATGCCTGGGAAAGACTTCAGCCCCCCATTGACCTCAAACCAGGATTAGAGGTCAGAAAAGGACAGTGTCCAGCTTCTCAGTTTATCACTCATACTCACACACTGAATATAAATTACTCTTGTGAGCAAAGGGGGGGGGCATATTTCTAGTTTATTATAGTAGTGCCATAACAGCTTACTTAGTAGTAGTACGAGACAGATCAGATAGATGAGATTGATGGGACAAGTGGATCGATGGATAGACGAGTATCTTTAATATACTAATCTTGTATTCTATTTGTGCTACGTGTTGGGGTGGGGGGGGGGTCTTACTCTTGCAGTGCAGGCCTTGCTTCATAATGCCCCACAGCAGCGAGCCACAGTGGTCACAGAAGGTGGGAACCTTGTAGTTGTGGATGTTGAACTTGTGGGGGACGTTGATGCTGAAGCCCTGGTTTGTGGTCTGTGAGGAGAAGCAGCTCATCAAATGAAAGCCACCGATTGGGTCTCTCAGTTAGCCAACAGGGGGAGACGAACCAGACTGAAAACACTGCGAAAACTGGCGCAGGCCACTTCAACTGTATCGCAAACCCTTCGTCACTGAGATTTTCTGAACAACGCTTGCAGTACCAGATATACCCACATGGGGGCACAGCACTGCTGACTCATCAAAACTTAGACCAAGCTGGATTTCTCTTAATTTCGAAACTTAATGGGGCCACAAAAATGTTTCCGTTTCTTTTAATTAGAGTTCAGATGCAGCTGGACAGCTGCTCTCTCTTACTTGGAGCTTGTTACACAGTTGGGCTGAAAATGACAAGCAGTGTCTCAGCCCAAGGTCAAACTGTGCAGCCACAGACGCCCAGACGGCCAGACGGCCAGACGGCAGCCCAACCCGAGGAGCGACGGGCTTGCCGTGACCCCCGTTATCGAGGGCTGACTGCCTCATTTCTGTGTCGCAGCTGCGACCAAACTTCTCACTCAGAGGCCTCAGTTACCACAGAACTGGTAACATTAAGCTAAAAAAACTAGACTGGACCACCTGAATGAATTCAAAGGAGTTCTATAGATACAAAAATCTATACAGAAACACAGCAATCGCACAGAAAAAGCTCCCTCTCTTCAATGATATTTATCACCTACAATCCTAGCAGCACAAAGACACCCGTTTTATAAAAATGTGGATCATTAATATAAACCAATTAGTCCATATGGATGTAGATTACAGGGCCAATGTTATCGCGGGGTGAGGTGACTAAGACTGTTGATCTGAATTAGGTGAAGCTGTATAAAACAGGTAAAGATGTCGCTCTGGCAGAAATCGACTGAGCAGCTAAACGCAGCTGCAAGAAAAATTCTCTCTAAATGTTTTGGAGCATTCGTCAGTGTCCTGTGCAGGACATGGTCAGACTCAGAGGCTCAGCGTTCTTCCTCCAGTCACACTAGCTTGGGTCTCTGTCCGGAAACCTCTCTGCACAGTGCTGCTTGGAAATCCCCTGTCGCTGTGGGCAGTATTATAGACAGACTGACCCAAACCCATGCAGGGCAATGCTTTCGGTGTGAAAAGGTTCTCAGAGCTACCGCTCAAGCCTGGCCACACGACGGGGACTGCCCTGGGGACAAGCCCCCCCCCTCGGCCATCACACTCACCTCCTCCTTAGCTGGCTTCTTCATCCGAGGGCAGGAGTTCACAACCACCTGGTGACACCTCTTATGTACCACACAGGTACACACTGCAGGGACACGGGGAGAAAGATGCGGGGTGTTAAAACAGGAAAAAAAAAAATGTGTGTGTGTGTGCGCGTGTGGGGGGCGGGGGAACCAGGAAGGCGTGGTGCATCTGTGGTGGGCTACCAGGAAGGCAAGGCTGATACAGCACATGAGAGAGAGTGAGAGAGAGAGAGGGAGAAGCGAAACAAGAGAGAGAGAGAGAGCGAGAGAGAGAGAGACAGAGACATAACCACTCCACTAACAAGATCAGAGTGCTGTTCGGCACGACTGCAATCTACAGTCAACAGTCACAAGCAGCTCTGTATGCATTACACACAGACACACAAAAAAAGGTAGGTGTGTAAATATGCAAGACATGCTCCGTACAGTAAAGATGTATACAAAGTGCGGACTGACTCACCTTGGCACTGATATCCCTGCTTCCCAAACATACCCCTGTAGCACAAAAGCAAATGAGGACACATTAACAGCTTAAACTCACAGACTGGTCACTAAATGAAGGCTGTTTAGTACGCGGAAAGATCAAAACAGCCCTGCAACATTCTGTAAATGTCCTGTAAACGTCTGCAACCCGTAAATCTGTAAACAATGCATGAGAATGTAATGCAAATGTGGATTTCTGCGTGCTAGCATGGCAGTTTGTCCGCGGATATGAATGCATTTCAGGTGGACGTCTTCCATCGGGATGGGGGGGGCTTTCCCGATCGCAGGCACCCTCACCAGATGAATTCCTTGCAGTGGCAGCAGAAGGTTGGCTGTCGCAGGAACGTGGACATGAACTTGTGGCCGTTGACCTGGTGGATGCGTCGACGCACTGCCCCCTGGCGTTTCCTGGTGAACTGCCGGTAGGATCTCTCGGGGCCCGTGGCATCCTCTGCGTGGGCAAGAAGACTCATCGTAACTCAAAGGATAAACAAGCGCGTCCGCTGGTCGCAAGCAGGGGACAGAGCACTTCACACTCAAGAAGCGACGATCAGAACAGGAAAGGCTCACTGGCATTCCAACGCAGCAATAATATCATACCCCCCACCCCCAAAACACACCTGAAAGAGGGTCCATGCTGGATCAGGATCAGGGACATACTGTCCTGTCTCACTGTGAGCAGGAGCCAAACAGAGAAGCTGCAGGCCAAAGACGTGTCCGGTATAAGACCGGGAACCCATTGACAGGTAGGCCAGCATCTCGAAACCCTGGAGAGTGACAGTCACCAACAGGCAGCCTGTGGAGAGGCTAGGGAAGGCCAAACGAGGGCCTCGGCGACCATATCTCAAACTGCCACCACAAATGCCAAGGTGGCACAAGGAAGAGCAAGAACCAACGGCCTCCAGAGTTTTGGCAGCTGGGCATCAACATGAACCAGCAGGCTGATGGCATCTTAGTTTAACAGCTCAAATTTTGGAACCTGAAACCTCACCTTCATGAGCTACCATCAGAAATGACACGCGGAGTATTACATGACATTGGGTTGGTAGCTTTAAAAGTGCAGACCTGTCGTAAAAAAATCCAAAAAAAGGCACACGGGGAGGTGACAGCGGGCATGGAGGAAGAGACCAGGGATGCACACACTTGTTGACCTGGTGTGACTCACACAAGGGGGCTTGAGCACGTGACAGTCATTTCATTACCATTTCAGCAGGACCCAGACAGACACCCAAAAGAAAAAAAAAAAAAATGTCCCTACTGGATCCTGCCAGTTCTGCCCAAAAACAGGGCTCAGGGTGGCGCTGATGGAGCAATAATTACCCAGCTATTAAAGCCCTCACACTCTACCCCCTGGCTTTACCCAGAGCCCCCTCTCCCAGGTGGATGGAGCTGGGGCTGATGGGTAAATTCCTTACCATCGATGAAGGAGCCAGTGAGAGTGATGACGATGTATACTTTGCCCTCTGGCTCTAGGTCAACCTGAGGAAATACAGGAAAGAGAGTGTTACTATTAAGCTAACGGCTAACGGCTAACACAGGAAATACATCAGCTAGAAAGGAACAGCGGTCAGGGCAGATCATGTGACTCCTCACAAACACAAACGCCACTGTGCTCAGGGTCAGCCACAATCTGGACCGCGTTGCATGGAAACGACGACGGCAGGACTGCTGACGCGCTGAAGCCCCAGCCTCACAGGGGATGGCAGCGATTCCCGTAACCCAGCAGCCGGGTCCTGCAGCGTGCGCTCAGCTAAACAGCTAATTAAACAAAGTATTAGGAGAAAGGGCTAAAGCCTGCGAGGCTAAACGGCTATCGTGGCGAGAGGGCATACAGCAGCAGCAGAACGTTTGGCTAACGAGCTAAATGTGACAGCGTATTCATTAGTCAGTGCGGGAGGAGGATCCGGCTCTGGGGCTGTAGCAGAGGGGGAGGCATGCCCAGACGGGTGCAAAAGTGCTACTCTGCCTCATCTCACAGTTTACCGACTGGCCCCCCAGCCAGGTGGATCATTTCAGGTCTGACACTCATGAATGGGGGTTAGCCAGAGGAAGCTATGTTTGGTGAGGCCTGAGCTTTCAGGATGAGGCTTTGTGTGAACTTGCCTCACGCTCACGTATTCAGATCCTGGAGGCCAGCCGACCGGAGAACGCAGCACGGGGTTCTCACAACAGCAGTCCTCCTGGAACCGGGCCAGCGGACTGTCTGTCAGGGAGCAGAAACGTGGACCATCTGCAGGTCCCCGAGGGCTGGATTGAGACGCCGCACCAAGGGCACGGGTACTGAAGGACGTTTAACCTCACAATCGGAGAGCGGGGCAACCCGGTAAACAACTGCTGGGGGGTGGGGGGGTGGAGCCAAAACCAGTTCATCCAGAAAGTAACGGAGCTTGGATGTCAACGCGAGATAGACCTTTCCATAGAGAAGCAGACTCGGAGATCCATGCACACAAATGCGCAGAGGGACAGGCCTTGCATGGTTCGTACAGTGTGAGAACCCAAACACGCAGGCACTTTCTGCACGGGTTGGTGGGGGGAGGTGGGAAAAACAGCCCCCGATCTAACAGGGCAGCATTAGCGCTTCGTAGTCAGATGGAGCGAGTCTCAGAGACCACAGAATTAACACTGGGGCAGAGTGGGCGTTGTGTAGACAGTGCGGTCGGCGTTTCTGCGTGGGGGGGGGGGGACGCTCTTACTGACATCTGCACGTCTGTGAACGTGCAACTGATAGCAGTAACATGCCTGGAAGCCCGGCACTGTGACATGGCGGACTGAGGCAAGCCAGCGGAATCGCTGCTCCTCTTCCCATTGGCCTGCGGCCACCTGCTGTGGACTCGGGGTTTGAACCGAACAGGGTACCATGGCAGCTTGGAAAGTCCCATGAGCTCAGAGGGCGATACCGCTGGAAAGTTTGACTGCCACCCATCTGGCCTGTGGTTACAGTGATGTGTAAAGCCCACAGGTCGGGCAAAACTGCAAGAACAAACAGATAAACCCACCATGCGATCTCTCCCCTGCCTCCGGTATCCACTGAACCCGGGGTGGGCGTATCTCTGAACGGCACCTCCGATTTGGGCAAAAGTTACTGCTGAAGCATGAAGAAAAGAAAAAAAAAAAAAACGGAAGCGATGCCGGCGACCGAACGTGGACCGTGACGGGGAGTAAAGTGCAGGAAGTCAGCTCAAAGTGCAGACCTGCTGATACTGCAGCCTGTGGTCCATTCAGAAAGGCAGCAGAGCTCAGGGGCTTAGGGAAACTTCTAGAAACAGACCACCAGGCACGATAAGATGCTCCAGTGGGCATATTGTACCATTTTAAGGTTTCAATGAAACACCTACACATACTCCTCTTCACCAGTTCTGCAACTCTCTCTCTATCCTTGTCAATCCTTCATTAATGACGTATTGTTACATCACAAATTACTACAGTCCACAGTCAGTTGTCATTCTATAGTTATACAGACCCCCACCCAGAAAAACTATACACCCCTTGTTACAAAAGCATCATGACAGTCCCCCTCACAGATGCCCTGAAATAATCACCGTTTCATATAAATTGCCGTTTTCCTGCTGTATTTACTGTAAATACAGTCAGACTTGCCTCCATAAAGCAAAACCCAGTTAGATGCAGTTCTTACCATCTCCGCATTTGTCAGCCTCACAGACAGGCTATAGATCTGGGTCATGTTAACACAATATATCTCATCTCTCACAACAAGGGCCGTGGGACAAGTGTAGTTGGAGCCCTAGATTTTGCTAAAGCCAACAAACGGAGAGAAACTCCCAGTTAGCTATCAGAAGTTGGATGGGTAAGTTAGCGCAGGGCAGAGGGAAAAAACTTGGAGATGGACTTTGTATCGATCGTCGCACAGGGCAGATGGACACCATTTTGTCGTAAGGCACACACAAACACGATACAGGCAATTCGGAGACGCTGATTTGCCACATTAAATGTCGTTGGACTGCCGGGAGACACTGGGGCACCCAGAGGAAAGCTTTGCAAATACGGGGAGAAAGTGTGAAACGTAAAGAAGGGAAGCGGGATTACAATTCCCATCCCTGGAGGGGCGCTAAGACAGCCTGAGCCAAGATGCCACCCACAGACAGATCAATAATTCATACGGCCATTATAATTTCATTTCCAAAACATGAAAGCATCAAATGATATGAAGTAAACAACTGTACAGGCCTGTCAGCAGGAAGGACATGATGTAATGGTGACAGAGTGAGATAATGGGGGGGGGGGGAGTTATGAAGCATGTTTGGAGGCCCCTCTGGCGGTTCCCAGTCACCGAGGAAGCTTCAGCGGCAGCAGCGTGTTGGGACCTGAACGCTCCATTCGAAAAAATAAAATGCGAGCTGGAAAAAGTACGGATTGGGCGTAGCGTAAAGCAACAGGAAAATGCGTGCAGGATGATCTCGTGCTTTGAAGTGCCGGACAGCGAGCTTCTGCCGCAA